AGCTCTGCTAGTACCTCTTATAGAAGCCTAAGGCTCTAAACCCTAAATCCCCAAAAATCCTAAACCCTATATCCCCTAAACCCTAAGTTCCCTAAATTCCTCTTCAAGGACTCCGGAACCGCTCTGGTTCAGAGCGCTTTCAGGGCTTCGTCAGCCTCGAAGAGGTCGCCCAAGCGCGATCCTCAGCGTACTTTGTGCGGTTTTAATGGGCTCCTATCAGAGTCCTATAAGGGTTCAGGGTTTACTCCTATCAGAGTCCTATAAGGGGGTTTAGGGTTTAAGGTTGGTTGTATAGGGGTCCTATAAAAGCTCTCAAAGGGTTACTGCGAGGGGCTTTTCTTACAGCTTGGGCTTTGGGATTGGGATTGCGGGGCAGCTTGGACCAATGCTAGCGCGAGAGACATGGAGGGCTTTAGCAGTGCTTCGAGTTTTAGTTTCAGCCCAACAGCTGCCAGCCCTTGGCCCTAATTAAGCCCCCAGCCGCCTCCTAGCCATTGAGGATGGCAGCTGCCTTGCACCTTTGAGCTTGGAGAGAACTCTTCCAGGAATTCAATCGCTGAAGCCTTGGGCTCAAGCACTGTCTTTCTTATTGCGATGATGGTCGCGGTGCTGCTGACGATGATGATGACGACAATGATGATGATGATGATGATCATCATCATGATGATGATGATGATGCAGATGATGATCGTGTTGGTGATGCTGAGGGCGACAGTGACAATGATGAAGCGGCTGCTGTTGTTCTTGCCGCAGGTTGCGAGTTGGTGGTGCCTTTACTGTTGCTGCTGCTGCAGCGTCGCTGTCGTTGTTGTTGTTGCTGCTGCGGTGCTGTGCCCGTGGTTCTTATTCGTTTGCATACCACAACTGCCTGCTAAAACGTCCCGAGTTGGGTCTTCGAATCCTCTCTGTCTTTGAACCCGCAGAAGTATCAGTAGTGACAGTGCCAGCAGCTAGCATCTATTAACAAGACCAGCAGCAGTTGCATCGGCCACGGCCATGGTAAGACTAGAAACAATTAGTCGTCATGGTCGTCAGTGGCTGCAACGACAAGCAGTCCAAGTAATCGTTGAAACCGGACCATAAACTCCAATAAACCCCAAACCCACTCCCAATCCGACAGCTGCACCGTAAACCCCTACATAAACGCTTAAACTCCTGAGCCCTAAACCCATAACCCCTAAACTTCCTCAACCCTACACCCCAAAACCCTACGCCCCAGAAACCCCTGAACCCCAAACCCATACATCCTACACCCTAGACATCCTAAACCCATAAAACCTAAACTTCCGACACCCTATCCCTAGACCTGTAAACCGCATCTGCGTCTCGCGGCGACGAAGACGTTCTTGCTCCTCAGCCCTGAACCCCTAAGCTACATCGAAACTGCATGTTACGGCGACCCTCCACCCAGGTTGAATTGGGGATAGCCTCTCCCAAAAGCCCAATATCCGTCAAAGGCCCCTAAACGCCCTTAACCCTATACTTCCTAAACCCCTAAACTCCCTAAACCCTAGACTCCTAAACTGCATCGATATCCGTCAAAGGCCTTCTTGCGAGTCGCTCCCTTTCTCTGGATGCGAGAGTGAGGCCCCCAACCTCTGCAGATGGACTCGTGGCATGAAAAAGTTTACTGGGGTTCCTTTCAAACGGTTCCTTATGAAGGGATCTCTAAGGATTACTATAAGGGTTACAATAAGTCGAATCGCGGCATGAAGAAGTCTACTGGGGTTCCTTGGAAACGGCTCCTTTTAAAGGAGTCTGTAAGGATGACTATTTGGGTTACCATAAGTGGAACCGTGGCATGAAGAAGTTTAGGGTTTACGCGATTTAAGGTTAGGGATTAGTGGTTTGGGGCTGAGGGGTTCAGCAATGTCTGGAAGTTTAGTCGATTTAAGGTTCAAGGTGTGGGGATTCAGGGCTTCAGGGGCTTAGGGATTTGGGGTTCAGGGGTTTAAGGGTTGAGGTGGTTTAAGGTTCAAGGGTTTAGAGTTTAGAATGAATAGGTTTTCCCATTATGAAACTGAGGTCTATACTTTTGAAGTGCAGATGAAGAAGTTTAGGGCTGAGGGGTTAGAGGTTTAGGGTTCAAGGGTTCAGGGGTTTAGGCTTCTGGGGTTTAGGGTTTTCGGCGGTGTAAGGTTTAAGGTTCAGGAGTGTAAAGTTTCGGGATTCTCGGCCCCAACTACTTAAAGGCTCATGGGACTTAGTAACCAGGGTTAAAATTAGGGTAACTATACGCCAATTAGGGTACTTATAACCTTACTTACTAAGTCCCATGATCCTCCAAGTAGACTCTGTCGTTTCACTCACTGCCAAATCGTTCGGGGGAGGCTCTGGGTCTGTAAACTTGCAGCATTTCGGCTTGAAGGATGTAGGGGTTTGGGGGATTTGTGGTGGGGTTTCATGGATTTAGATTGCTGCTCCGAAAGAGGGTGCCGCCTGTTCTGTAGGGGGCGAAGTTTTGGGGGTTTAAGGCTTTACGGGATTGTAAATGGGTATTAGGGTCCCGTTTTGGGTACCCTAAATATTAGGTGCCGTATTATATAAGGGATCCAAAAAGGGACCCTAATTTTGACAACCACCCAAATATTGATGATTGAGTTTGCAGTTCCAGAACAAGGGCTAGGACAATGGTTTGCTTATCATCATAACTATATCGCGGCATACCTGTGCAGCACTCCGCCAAGTCGTGCAGATCTAAGTGAGTCTTAATGTAGTGGCCTGAAGCCTTCATAGCTAGAATAGGGTCTTGGGGCTCCTGATTATAATTATAGTAGAGTATACCCCCAAACCCTATTCTAATTATCAAGGCCTGTACTACACTAGGCCTTTCCGATCTGAGACTGAGACTGCGGGTCGGGCGTTCGGGCATGAGGACTCTGAAGTTAGGAACTTGCCTGTTATGAGGACTGGGCTCTTGCTCAGCATACTATAGAAGGCTACATAGAAACACTATTATTACATGCAGTCCTTGTGTAGTGATGATAATACAAATATACCCCAAAACCTTGTTATGTTTAGAAATTCTCAAGGCCCCGACATGTTTCCCACATGTCTTACCACTTTGCTGCTTGTATGAGCAACTTGGAGCCCCCCCAGCCGAGCCAAAAGTCTGAGTCCACAAATTAGGGGCCTGAATAATTAGTAATAGTCTCTCCTTACAGTCCTTCTTGCCATTGTGATTACTAGTAGTGTTCATATTACTGTTATTGTGAATATTCTTGTTTTACTTGGTACTTATTGTAGAACATAAGCAAACCCTACTCTGAGCATTAAGGCCCCCACTACCTCTCTATCCGTTTCCAATTGGATGCATCAGGAACGCGTGGCGTGGTAGATGCCAAGCAAGGATTGCCTGGTTCCATCCCATGAAGTGCGGGCGCTTAGGCTGCATATGGCACTATGGCCCACGCGTGACACTGGCTTTGCAGTGTGAGTTTGTACGATGGCCTACCTACATTCAGACAGACAGCGAGACATACGTACACAGTAGTCGTCGTCGTAGTCGTAGTCGTAGTAGTAGTGGTAGTAACAGTAGCAGTAGTAGTAGTAGTAGTAGTAGTAGTAGTAGTAGCAGTAGTAGTAGTAGCAGTAGTAGTAGTAGTAGCAGTAGCAGTAGCAGTAGCAGTAGCAGTAGCAGTAGCAGTAGCAGTAGCAGTAGCAGTAGCAGTAGCAGTAGCAGGGCAGTAGCAGTAGGATTAACAGTGCAGTAGCAGTAGCAGTAGCAGTAGTAGTAGTAGTAGTAGTAGTAGTAGTAGTAGTAGTAGTAGTAGTAGCAGAAGTGGTAGTAGCAGAAGTGGTAGTAGTAGTAGTAGTAGTAGTAGTAGTAGAAGCTTCTCGGCCCACAGCGAGTGGGCGTTGCCGAAACTGGATTCTGGGGCCGCTCTTCGAACGGTAAGCTCCCCTAGAAGGTCTTGGGCTCTGAACTGAACACGGCTTTGCCTAGCGGCGTCATGCCATGGACCCTCTGGAATCTGCTGATAACCCTGGGCTCTGCTTTCTTGGCTTCCGGCATGGGTGCAACAAGGTGCATGACTGGGGCATTCCCAGCAGACCTACCTCCTGCACCGTATGTGCCCTTGCTGCTGATCAGGCCAGACTGGACGCCCGGACTCAGGATGACTTCCTTAGAATGGTTCTACTGGACCTGTTTGATGCGGCCGGCGGCTACAGGGCTGACCATCGATATTTCGACTTCTTTGAGGGATGCTGGAGAAGACACGATCCAGAAAATATCCTGGCAGCTGTTGCAGCCTCCAAATATCCCACCAGACTGCCGGCGACCCGCTTATGGTGCCAATCGGCGCATCCGGCGCTGGCGCACTACCTGTGGACTCCGTGTACCATCGGAAAACTACAATGCTGCGAGCGAGCCCTGGACTGCCTGGACTGAACAACATCTTGGGAACAATCTGTTCGAGCAAGGGTGGCCAGGACGTGGGAAGCATAGGGATACCTACAGAGGGAATAGAGCTGAGTGCCACACACATGGTCCCGTGTATACGAAGTGCTGCATAGGACGTCGAAGCCGATTGTGGAAACTTAAACCACAGGCCCCTGCACGACGATACCGTCGTAGACGACGAACCTCCCATGCCTGCTCATCTCCACAGGTCTGTCGAGCTGCTGCCCTGCTCCTTTCCGGTGTGCCGGCTGCTATCGAGCTCCTTCAGTGCGCCCTTGCAAGATCTCTCGCAGGTCGCAGTGTCTCTTTCCGAGGGCTTAGCTGTCTGATGCAGCTGTCAGACTGCATTTCTGCATGCACACATGTATGGTGCTTGTTCTATTGCTCTCGGCTTGCTCAGTCGAGGGTCGTTGCTGCATGCCATCTGCTGAGTCACACAGGCACTGACACAACCGTAGGGCCCCTATCTGCCACCCTTGGGTTTAGGCCCAGATCCCAACCTCGGCTCGATAGGTCTCAGTGCTTTGCACGGTTGTCTGGCCACATAGGGCTCCCTGCACCCAGCCTTGGCTATCCTAGCATTGCAGCCAAACACATGGACCGAGATCCTCTTCATGACAGTGTCCTTGAGGACGCCACTGCCGCTGAAGGGGCCGAGGAAGAGGATGCTGAGAGTGACAATGTGTCGGCTCCTACTTCACCAATGACGGCGGCAGAACGGGCACATCCGATCACTGCACCTCCGCTCCATGGCCCACCAAATGGACCTCCTCCACCTCGGCCAGTTAATGCTCCGCCGACCATGGCCCACTTCCGAGCTCGCAGGACTGAACCCAGTGCAGGATCCTCGGCCTCAGCTGGTGTGGATTCAATGGGCATTGCTGCGACTTGGCCTACACGGGTTCCGCAGCATGCAGCCGAGGGAGCTCCAAGGTGGCATCGCACTCTGGCGGCTAACGTCCTCCACCATCTCCAATTGACTGGACCGGCCTATGTGCGAGCCCCTGACTATGCCGAGGTTGCCACATGGAGGTCTCTCCTGATCAGCCTCAGGGAGGCTACGCCGGCTGAGGAATATATGCTCGAGCCAACCAACCCTCAGGACCTTCGCAATCCCCTCTTTGATCCACCGGATGATGATGAAGACCATGACGATCAAGAGGTGGACGGGATGGAACAGGCACAGGAATCAGAGGGGCCTACGCATGACCCCAACACCTCGGACTCTGACTCCAACGAGGCGAGCGAAGTTGCTGCTGTACGCCCATCCTCTGCTCCCTTGGCTATGACCTCCACTACCACTACATTGCCACCTGTGCCTGCCCACCTGGATCCTGCTGAGCACACCGGCCTGGGACCTGATGCTGCCGGCATGCTGTATGAGTCGGAGGACGGGTTGGTGTGTTTTGACCTGGGACAGGCTACTGAGTGCCTACAAGCCACTCGAGAAAGGCTCCACATGTATCGTGAGGACCACCGCCGCAACCGGCATCGGGAGTCATCGACCCAGGCAGCAGGACCAGAAAGTCGATCCAGATCGCGATCACCCGCTCCGGATTCAAGCACCAGGTGGTCTCTTTTGGTCCTCATCCCCATTCCCTCTTCCCTTAGGACCCTAGTTACGTCCAATCATGCCCAAGCTGCATTGCCTGGCTCTGCATACCCCCCAGGTGACGCAAGAAGGTCCAGCTTCAGTCGCTCATCAACTGATAGCCACCAGCTCTGCCGGCCCCTCCAATGGCCGCTTCTTCAGCTCTTCCAGTGTACGGCTCTCACTACTGCAGCCGAGCCCGGCCTCTCAAAGCCAAAAAGTCGTGCTACTGCCAGCAACTGCACTGGTCATCCTGCACTGCACTGTTGCTGCCTGGATCAGCTTTGCCTCCACCCTTGTCCTGCTGTGTGGTCCTCCCTTCAGGTACCCTTCGGTCCACCACACGGCCCGAAGCTGCATGAGGCCCCACTGCGAGGCTGGCCTATCAGTCCAACCGTGGACCCACTGCAATGCTGTCCCTATCCTGCTCCACTGCTGGCCCAGGTTGATTGGGCTGCCTCATGGCACTCACACGGCGACTCAGCCCTGTGCTGGAGGAAAGGTGAGCCTCTCAGCCAAAGCCGGCACTGCCCTTCGTCCCGTTAGCACCTCCGTAGGTGCTTCCGCCACTGATTCGGCATCCACCACATCTCGTACACTATGCCGCCCGGGTCCCAAGTCCCGGGGACTGCTGTCCCTGTACCTGCGTGGAATCCTACTTCTTACGTCTTTGCAATCCGCTCGTGCAGGTCAGCAGCCAGAAGCGAGGGTTGCAACCCTTGCCGCCGAGGTTGCGGGAGGTGCAACTCTTTCACATAACCTCCCTGCTTCATCACCGAAGCCAGGCGGCTTCCCTGCCACGACTCGCCCAGCTCTCACCATGCCTTATTCTAGAAGTGCAAAGCGGGCATATCAGAGAGCATGCAACCGTGCTATAAATTTTGGACACACTCGCTACAGAGGTCGCACATTGCTGGCCTCCCAAGTTCCGGCTGAGCTTCGCCCAGTTGGACCCTCAGGCAACCGCCATGCCCACCCTAGACCACGGCCATCGCCTTGTTCACAGGACTCTGGACTTCACATTATGTCTTGGAACGCGGGCGGTCTCGGAGCTGGCGGGGACCTCTACTCGGAGTTGATGAATTTCCTCACCAACTCAACCCTAGACCTGGCAGTGATCCAGGAGACTCGCTGGACGGAGTGCCTCGAGTTTACTTCAGGCCCGTGGACGTGCCTACACTCAGGCTGTCGCGCACATAAACAGGGTGGAGTCCTGGTCTTGGTTCACTCTAGAGTAACAGCTCCTTCGCGCATTCGGTATGAGCACCTGCTCAGGGGACGATTGATTCACGTGAGAGTACCGCTGCCCGGGGCAGATCACAGGCACATTCATATTCTTGCGACTTATCAGAAGACACACGACCCCCGCAATGCACAAGCTCTGCCTCTACGCCGGCAGGTGTGGAATGCACTACACAAGTGCTTGCGTAATCTTCCAGCCAGAGACCAAGTGGTCCTCATAGGGGACTTCAACACCACGCTCCGTGAGATGACCCCACACGTCGGCAGGTTCGTGGGAGCACCGCTGGCTCACCCGCCGGAGGACATCCCAGACTTTGAGGCACTGCTGACCACCTACAACCTGGTCGCACTGAACACGTGGTACCCCTCGCCAGGTGGACAGTCCACCTTTCATTGGGGAGAGGCTCAGTCTCAGATTGACTACATCATAGTCCGGAGAGGCGATGCACCCACTGTGTCGCGCAAGGTCAGGCTTCTTCGGGGCACGCCGCTGGGTGCCTCCAGACGAAGTGGTGCATATCATGTGCCCCTTGCCACCCGCCTCCCAACTTCCAAACCCTACTGGCTCAATGTTGGTAAACCTCGTGTGCCCAAAGCCGACCAAGAAGCCCTCCTTGCTGCCCTAGATAATCCCTGTGACCTTGTCAGCCTTGGAAAAATCGCAGGTATCAGGTTGGAAGTAAGCCGCCACATCGCCAGACACTCAACCTCCTCCTCTATACTTGCAGGAATCCAATCTCTGCACACCGTCATGCATCAGGCATGCTGCCACTACTTCCCGCCCAATGCTCCGAAGGCTGGTGCACCACCTTGGCAAACCGGTGCCGTGCAACAAGGCGTCAAGGACATGTGGCAAAAATGGAGAGCTTTCAAACAGGTGCGCAAGCAAGGCCTCCGAGGCTGGTTCCAGGCCTGGAAGGCTTGGAAAGCCTACAATAAACAGTACCAAGAGCACCAGCGCAGATGTAAAGCCGCTCGCAAATCTGTTCTCTTGACGGCCATGCAGGAAGCCGAGCAACATGCCCTCAAGCACAACTCCAGGGGGATCTACCAGATCGTCAAAAGGCTTGCGCCCAAACAAGCACGTCGGCAAATGCAACTACGAAGCTCAGATGGTCAGATGCTCTCGCCCAGCGAGGAACTGGAACTGCTGAGGGAACACTTCCAGACTCGGTTCACTGCGTCTCAACCTATGGATGCATCGCTGGCAGACCTTCACTGGCCCTGCGCCCAGCATCCCCTCCTAGAAGCACAACCCCTGTGCCAGGCCATCCAATCAGTGCCCCGCCGCAAAGCTGTCCCACAGGGCCACCCACCTAGTGCATCTTGGAGACTGTGTGCTGATTTGCTGGCTCCGTGGCTGAGCTCCCACCTCAATGAGGCCTGGTGCCAAACTGCGATCCAGGTGCCACGTTGCTGGTCCGATGTGGATCTAGCCCTAGTTCCCAAACCCGAAAAATCCGGGCGAGAACCGAAAGACTACAGGCCAATTGGTCTGGCATGCCCGTTGGGGAAGAAGCTACTTGCTGCACTGGTCCAACCACATGTGGCTGGCCTCACTGCTCAGATGCAAAGCTATCCTCAGTATGCATACCAAGCGGGTAGATCGCAGCTTACAGCCCTCCGGCGAGTGTTCAGCCACTGTGCTCAGGTCCGACTTGAACTTCAAAAGCACCGCAAAGACCTTCATCAGCGCTTTGCCGGTGCTGTCCCTGTGCCCCTGTTTGGTGCAATGATGGTGACCATTGACCTCACGCAGGCCTTCGACAAGATGCCCCGCTCCAAGCTGTATGCAGGCATGCGCCACCTTGCTCTTCCTGATGATCTGATACATGTGCTAATGCAGTGGCATGCTGGAATCCACTACACCATTCATCACGACGAGGCCTCTCGTACCTTCAGGGCCACGCAGGGCATCCGTCAGGGCTGCTCGGTCGCTCCCCTACTATGGCTGATCTTCTCACATGAAGTGAACAGAGCACTTGCGAACCAAGTTGGTTACGATCTTGTCTGTAGGCTGCTGACCGTGTTCGCAGACGACTATCATGTCGCAGACTCCTTTCACTCTCTAGTTGAATTTGAGGCGCTCCTCAGTGTGCTCGGTGTCCTGTTTCGGATCTTAGCAGCTTTTGGCATGCAGGTCTCGGACAGCAAAAGCAGAATGGTGCTTGCCCTACGTGGCTCACTCAGCAACACGATCCGCCGCAAGTACGTGCGCCCCAATCCCAATGGTGAAGGCAAAGTTCTTCGCATCCACACTTCGACAGGCCAGCTCAATCTACCTTTGGTAGACAGCTTCGTCTACCTGGGTGCACGTGTCAGCTATGGTCCCTTTGAGAACCAGACCCTGGAGCACAGGCTGGCCAAAGGTGATGCCACTTACCATCGGCTGGGCAAGGTCCTTAAAGGGAGACACCACCTCTCCACCAGACAAAGGGTCCACTTGTGGAGGTCCTGTGTGTGGTCCGCCGTCTCCTACAGCCTCACAGCTTGTGGCCTCACCGAGGCTGGCTTGCAACGCCTCAATACGGCCATGGTTAAACAACTACGTGCGATCCTACGCCTACCAGCGCACATCACTTTGACAACCAATGCACAGGTATGTCAGGCAGCAGGGCTTCTACTGCCCCATCAACAGCTTCTCGCTCTGCTGGACACGGAGGGTCACCGCCTTGAATCCGAGCCTCCCAGTGACTTAATCTGTCACCCCAAGTCGGATTGGTGGAAGCAGGTCCGCACCAGCTTCCTGTACGAAGTCCCGGCCAGCTTGACCCGTCTGCCTGAGCAGACCCAAAAGGCCTGGAGCTGTCCACACTGTGGACTCCACTACCCCAGTCGTGCCACTCTTAAGACACACATTGCCAAAAAGCATGCTGATGTTGTGCAGGCGGATCGACCTACCTTTTCGAGGTTGGAGGATGCAGTGAACGGCCTACCTCAGTGCCGGCACTGTCTGAAAAAATTCCCTACCTGGCAATTGCTCTCCAGACATATCGAGGGAAATCACTGTGCAGATCGTGTGCAAGACCCTGCAGCTAGGGAGGTTGTGGAAACAAGTCCGAACCAGCCCGAGCTTCTTTCTGCCGATGTTCAGAAGGGTGGCTCCGAAGTGGCTCTGGCACACCATGCACATATGCAAGCTCTGCTGCTTAGGTATGGACGCAACATGATATTGCATCTCCAGCACAGACAGTGTTATCATCAGCATTGCCTCATTTGTGGACAATGGACGGCCACGTCCAAGGTGATGAAGACGCATTATAAAGGGACACATCCCCAACTTCACTCCCTTGCCTCCCAAGCGACTAAGCTGTGCCAATCCTTCCCCTCGGGTGGAACTCCATGCCAGTACTGCGGTGTCACAGTCAAGCAGCCACGGCATCATAAACTCCAGTGTACTGTGCTGTGGCAGTTCTGTGTACTTGCTGCTAGTCAGGAAGCGGGGTTGTTCTGCCATGACGGAATTGGAACAACACGAGGAGATCTTTGGCAAACTGGCACTGACGCAGGCCACAGCCTTCGGCCAAGCCCTGAAGGCAGCTTAGGCGGAGTCGGAACAACCACACAAGGCAGTGCGACTCAACAACCTCGGCAAGCGGGGCAGGCCTCAGGAGCCTCTGCCAAACAATCCACCCTCCAATCCCTCTGGCTGGCAAGGGGGCGGACACAGCAAGGGCAAAGGTCGCGGAGGCCAGAGAGGGCAAACAGCTCTCATCAAGGCAATGGGCCGGCTTCTCATCCGCCAGGAGACCAGTCTACAGGTGCTCGAACAGAATTCTGCTTGGAACATGTACCTTCAGCCGGGTCAGCAGGGACCACTACCCCTACTGTTCAAGACGTCCGAGGCCTACAGGCAAGAAGCGCAGACCAAACATATGGAGATGCCTCTTCGAGCACAACTGCTGCACACTCTGTTTCAGACGGTGCTTCAATGTGTACAGGCCCTCGGCACGGATCAGGAACAGCAAAAGGCAGCCCAGGACCGTGGCTGGCTCACGAGCGAAGGCAAGTGGGCTTATCAGAGATGGGACCCTGCGGCACAGGCCCTGATCGTGGATCCAGATCGGGCCCCCTTGGAGCATCAGGAGCTGATAGCCCTACTAGGGGCCATGGCGGACGCGGTGAAGCGCAAGGACGTGATCCACAAGTTCAATGCCACACACACCGTGGCTGCGGAGCAGACAGGTCCCTCCAAGTTTATGTTGGAGGTGGGGCTACGAGCCATGGGAGTGGCAGAGGTCTGGACCGGGCTGGAGAAACTCCAGAGCCTATCAGCTCTGCAGTTGTGCGGAGTCCAGCTCCGCCGAGATGGACTCCAAAGGTGCTCTTTGGCCAACGACATCCAGAAGATGCTGGGAGAGTTTTGAGGCTGGCTCTGCGAAACCCCTCTCAACACTGCTATATCAATGCCCTGGTGCTCAGCCATCTCTGGACCCATTGTCTTTTGCAGGCTCCAGATGCACAGCTCTTCGGGGACCACATCCAGGCTTGGCGTGATGTTTTGTATGGGCCCTCATCCTGTACCATCTACAGACTTCCATCCTGGTCGAGGCTCTTCCGTGGATGGGCTATGCCGGCATCCCAACACGATATAGCCGAATTCCTGCAGTATCTCTTCTCGAAGCTCAGGCCGCTTATTTTCTTGGGGGAATGGCAGTCCAGACGTCTGGCAGGCCCTGACTCTGTTTCCATAGCGGACCGAGGTGATCTTAGCTCTCCCATTGTACTTCACCTGAGACAGGGCGGCTTGGACTCCTTGGGTACTGCAGACACCCTTCAAGCCTGCGTGGACAGATGGCACAGGCAAGAATGTTGCACCAACGGTCTTCTGAAGGACCATGCAGTTGTCATTCTCCAGCTTGCCAGATACAATGCTGTTGGGGACACGATGTGCAAAGACCGCACACCAGTGCTGGCCACTCCGAGGGTCACTTTGCCAATTTTTGGCACGGGTCTCAGAACATTCAATGCTACATATGCTTTGATCTCCATTGTTGCACATCACGGCGACACTCCCACATCGGGTCATTACAATACACTGCTCCTGGAGCCGAGCGCTCTGCCCAGGGGCCCGTGTTGGGAGACCGATGATGGCAGATCCGCCATCCTTCAGGCTCAACTGCCACCGTATGCTGAAAGTGATGGATACATCTACACCCTGATACGCTGCAGGCACTCCTGATGCGTGGGGAATGTTCCGTGCATGATGCGACTCTCTCACGATGCATCGATGCGTGAATGTCATTTGGGGAGATACAAAGCATCACCATACTTGGTGACTTTCTGGCGAGTTAGTTTCCTTTTATGGCATCCTTAACACTGTTGCAAACTCAGTGGTTCGAGGTGCCCGCCGGTGTTCGCACCGGGGTAGTGTACCGAGCTCCAAAATGGAGTGCGCTGTGCGCCGGCTTGAAGCTGTCGTTGGGACGCTTAGCGGAGACCTTTTCGCTGCGAATGAAGAAGAAGAAGTAGTAGTAGTAGTAGTAGTAGTAGCAGTAGTAGTAGCAGTAGTAGTAGCAGGAGTAGTAGTAGTAGTAGTAGTAGTAGTAGTAGTAGTAGTAGTAGTAGTAGTAGTAGTAGTAGTAGTAGTAGCCTTCTCCGACCAGAAACTGTCCCAGTAATTCTCCGTCGTGAGGTACTTAGACGAGGGCATGTTGTTTCTCATCACTGTCATTATGCAGATGTTGTAAAGGAGTGATACTACCGTTTGCTTCTACAAAACATCAGCCAGGAAACCTATATGTAAGTCCCGCAAAACCTAATTCCAAACTAAATCCCAGCCCCTGTCCTTATATCTTTTGATGCCCGTCTGAAACCCTCTACAAACACATCTAGACCCTTTAAACCCTTCCAAGCCCCCAAATCCCCATCACAAGACTTTATTCCGTGAGTACTGGCCCACTTGTATTTTTATGATATATATATATATATATATATACATATAGCCATTGTTTTGTTTGTTTACATTGGCTATATTTGTTTGTTATTAACCTGACCCCGACCTCATACAGACTGTTACAGGGTGGGGGCAGTACCCAACTTATTCCAGAGGTCGACCTTTGGTGCGACCTTGGTCCACTTCGCCAACTCCTCGTTGCCAGAGGGCGCCCACATGCCCAGCTGCACCTGGGACTTTCAGGGTTACTTAAAGCATCATGGGACTTAGTAACTAGGGTTTTTCATTAGGGTGACTATACTTATAGCCCCAATTAAGGTACTTACAGCCTTACTTACTAAGTCCCATGATCCTCCAAGTAGGGCTTGCGGGTTTCTGTTGAGGGGTTTGGGGTTTCAGGGTTTAGGGTTTAGGGTTCTACTGGGTTTTGGAATGCCATACTTGTTTGGGGAACTTGTTCCTCAAAGGAGCCCTTACGACATGAACGTGTATACGTTTTTCTGCCTGTTTACTTCAAAGCCCAGCTACGCCTGGGCTTCGAAACGGCAGCGGCGAGCCTGTTTTTTGGTTTTTGGATGGGGGCGGGGACGGGGGTCAAGGGCTTTCGGACTTTCGGGAGTTTTAGGGTTTGGGGTTTCGGCGGGGGGGTGAGGGACGGGGTGCCCACACACTTGATCGCGCTATAGCGGCTTCACAGCGTTCCAAATGGCTTTTCTCGGGCGTGATCTTGTTTCATGCCTGGCACATGGGGTTTGACACCCTACATGGGGCGCGTCTTGGTGCTTACCCCAACTGCCCAGATCCCTGAAAGCTAGCCGTTTTGGGAATGATAGTACCAGAAAAAGCTGCTTTTGAGGATGAGAACGGCATCGTATCACCGATGCCGACATATGTCATAATACAGCCCCTGGAGCCCTACACCCTAAACCCTAAACCTTTTCCTACAAGGGGACCCTAATTAGGAGAACTGCCCGAATGTGATCGGAAGCGAGAAAGAGCTACTCCGACTGTGTTCACTTAGCACACCGACCACCTCATACTACAGAAGCGTGGATAGTTGCCGAGAAAATTCGGTCCGTAGCGCTACGGGACGGGTACATCTACCAAGAACATGTGCCCCAAAAACACCGTTCATACCATTAAGGCCCTTAACCCTTACAGATTCTTGTAAAGCAGCCCTACATAACAATGTTTTGCACACTAAGGACCCTACACTAAACCCGCCTCAGGTTTTGCAACCCTAAAACCCGAAACTCTAAAACCCTAACCCAAGCCCTATACAGCCTATACCCTAAATCTCCAAAGCCCTGAAGCCCTGCAAACTTTGACGTGAGGATCTACTAAGATGCCCAGTAGTACCCTTGTTGCGTTTTTGTAGTCCTACGTTCCTTGTTAAGTTACCCAATACCAAAAAGGGAGCCCTTGTTATTCCTAGGTTACTGGGCATCCTAGTCTAAAGCCCAAGGCGGCTTCGTGGACGACTCCGAGGAGGTCTGAGAAGTTAGGGAGCTTCTTTTTGTGGCCAGAGTTTTAGGGGCTAAGGGTTTAGGGGTTTAAGAGGTGTGGGGCTTAGATATTAGGGTGTGTTGTTTTATGGAGGGATTGCAGGCTTTTCTGTAGGGTGTAAAGGTGTTTGTAGAGGGGTCCAAAGGGTCTCATGGGTTTTAGGAAGCTTGATGAATGGTTTTTGTTAGGTCGTGCAGGTGTTTTGTAAGGGTGGTTTAATTGTGTTTACGGTTTAGACGTTAGGGGTTGGGGTTTATGGCCAGGTTTAGGCAGTGATGCGTCTTGCTTCGGGCTTTTGGAATTTGGGTGCTTGCGATCTTATGGCAAGATGTACGAGAAGAGCCTACTTGAATTAAAATGCAAAAAACTCCTGGTTTAGTTCCTGCGCCCACGATCGCCTCATCACGTTTAACAAAAAGTCACACCGAACAGCAGCAACTTCAGTAAAACCATCGACACACAGCAGTTCTCGCTCTTGAAATTGTCGACGGATCGTTGACGGATCGTGGCAGGAGTTTGGCAGCTGGCTGCGGCCTGTGTGCCTGAGCAGTCAGAAGCAAGTTCTGGACATCAGTGCCCCACGGCCCCACCTCAGGCAGACGAACTCGAGGAGTCTACGCCGAAACATTTCTGGTTGCGCTTCAGGCCCAGCCCAGCAGCCTGTTCAGCCGACGAAACTCTTCTGGACCAAGCGTCCCAAACTCCGACGAGAGAACGCGAGAGAGGGAGAAAGAGAGAGAGAGAGAGAGGATTCGGAGAGAGATGATCGGGCCAGTCAGTCATGTTTAAGGCATTATGGGTAGTAGGTCTCCCCAAACCCCAAACCGCAAAATTTTAAGCCCTAAAACTCCAAATTTTTACTGCACATCCCTAAGACCCCAAACTTAGACCCAAACCCTAGAACCGTAAACCTGAACTGTTGAGCTCTCACTGACGACTCCCAAGCCAAGAAGTTCTGAACCCTACCTAGACCCGTAAATGCAGTACTTGTTATTGGTTACTTTAGCTTCTTACTTCGTATAGGATCCGGACCATAGAACAAGGAACCCCAAAAACGGTACTGCGTTGGAGGGTCTGGGAGTCTAGGTATAGTGTATAGAGTAGGGGCCTTCCTCATTCCTCCACTCCTCCCCCAGTAGCCCGAAAGCCCAGACAGGACCTTTGCAACGGCGGGGAGCAAGGTCCTCTCGAGTGACTTGATCCAAATGGGGGAGGGCGAGTGAGAGATCACCGGTTGATACCAGGTCACGGTTTACGGTTTAGTGTTAAGGGTTAAGCGTTAAGCGTCTATCCGCAACAGATAGTTTCGGAGCGGCATGAAACAGCCACCAGATCACAATCATAGAATTCAAACAGGCATCCTAGAAGGTCCTAGCTATGTTTTGAGGTCTATGGCATAAGGTAAGGGTGTGTAGAGGCTTGAAATCGTGGACTGTTTCACGACCTGATGGGTGGTAAGTCATGGCAGCATCCTAGGCGGGCCGAAGAACTTCTGCAGCCCTGTCGACAATCCAAGGGTAAAAGGAGGGACCCTTAAAAAGGACCCCTAGGCATATACCTTTAATATAGCCATTATATACCCATTATTTTGCCAATTATAGGGTAGGGGTCCCCATTAAGGGTCCCTCCTTTTCCCCTTTGAGACGGAGACTGCACAAGCTCATCCTCCTACAACTAACCACCCGGAGGCTCGCAACCCTCAAGCCCCAAGCTATAGAAACCACCAAACCTGGGCTCTGAAACGCCAGACCTTATATAAATGCTTTTGTGGACCTGCTCATGCGAACTTTCTCCACCTGGTTACTTCAAAGTCCAGTAACCTACAGCCCCAGATCCGAAGCAGAAAGTTCTAGTTCAGTGGTATTTGCAGTCAAGGGTCCTTCCTGGATTTTTCGTAGTGATTGCTGACTTACACAACATGAACCCTGAGGCTCGGAGCCTGGGCCTGATTTAGTTTTCATAAAT